CAATGCCAAAGTTTTATGATGTGCATAAATGAAGATAGTGAAAGCCTTTGCCTTGTCAATAACTCCTTTGAACCTAGGGAGATTACCAATCCCTTGAAGCATGAGATTCAAAGTATGAGTGGCACATGATGTCCAAAACATATTCGGCCTCTTTTTTTTCATCATGTTTGCCGCCGCCATATTGTTAGAAGCATTATCGGTTACCACTTGAATCACATTTTAAGGCCCAATTTCTTCAACACACTTGTCAATATATTCAAAGATATATTCCCCGGTGTGTGCTTCACTAGAGCATTCCTTAGAAGAAAGAATATGGTGTCTTTTTTTGCAATTGACACATAAATTCATTATGCTTCTTCTTTTTCGGTCACTCCAAGCATTGATCATGATTGAGCAACGATTCAAAGCCCACTCTTGTTCATGTTTCTTGAGTGACTTTTTTACTCTTTCTACCTCTTCTTTCAATAATGGCTCCCTTAATTCGTATTGGTTTGGAGGCAGGTAACCCGGACCAAATTGACCAACCACTTCCATCACACGCTTGAAGCTATCATTATCTATAGCATGGAAAGGAATACCGGCTTCATACACCCATCGAGCCACATATTGATCCACTTGATGTGCTCTTTCCTTCCAAATTGCATCATGGATGTTTTGTTGCCGAGTCTTCTTACTTCCCTCATTTGAAGAATCGGGATTGATGGAGGATGCAAACCTATCCATAGGTCCAAGAGTGCAAGGCCTTTTCCTTGACCCATTCACTTCAATGTCTTCTTCTTCTTCTTCTTGAATTTGTTGAAGTTGCACCCCTTCCCTCACTTCCACAATGTGCTTATCCCTTTGTTTCTTCTTATTTTTTTCTTCTTCTAATGCGGCTCGACATTTGGCTTTATCTTCATCCGAAGACTTTGTGCATGCCGCTACATTTCCTCTTATGTTGGCTACATGTTGTTTTAATCTATGTACTCGTCCACTAATAATTTTGTTACACAACTTACATTTCACCTTATCTGAGTTTGTAGGATTTGCCAAGATCCCATATTCCCATCCCACATCTTCCGAACTACGCTTCAACACATTTTTAGATTGGGAGGAGGACGACATTGCAGTAGATGCTCCAGAAGATGAAGTACCAATCATCACACAAGAGAAGACAATCCTAAAATTCATATAAAATAAACATTACAAATTTTTAGGTCTTAATCTCCCACAAAAAACTATCACAGTATTTTAACTTATAAGCCAACTCAGATTGTTTTGTTTTTCTATTTTGGTCAGCTTGTCAAAAGGCAGAATCTATGGCCAAAAAAAAAAAAGCAAAAACACACTTTGACAGCATAAATTAAACAAGTGAGACTTAAATTTGCTAACTTGCAAAATACAAAAAGTGGGACTTTAATTAAACAAGTCATATGGAATCCCAGAGTTGCTTCCACAAATGTCTGAGACAAAAACATTGTCCAGACGAGACCTACTATGACATTTTTGACAGAAATATTTACCATTAGCCCAATATTTACTATTTACAATTGATCATGTATGTCATATATTAATGCAAGCAGTAAAGGACAGTTCTCAATCGAGGGGGAAGAAAGAAAGAAGGGTAAGCGAGAAATTTGAACCTCAATTTACACTGGTCAACCAAAACAATGGCAATGTATTTCTTGGACAAAATTGATAAACAAATTTTTATGTGCATCCAGATGTGAAAAGACAAGCTCACAAGTACATGAACTAAGAAAAGTGAAACTCCAATCTTTATATCCAAAACAAGATTTCTTTTCAAAATAAAATAAAATGACCAACTTCATTTTCTTTTACAGATACCAAACACATTAAGTAGCATTCATGATCATGCAGTTTTAGGTGCCACTCATTGCTAAATAATCAAAGTTCGGCTAATGCCAGGAAATTGTGACAGACGATGTTCTTGTTTATATGCAGTTTGGGTCCTCGCTGTCATATGAATATGATATATGCATCTATATATAATTGATAGACAATTAGGCTAAGATGTGCATCTGGATCTAGCAAACAACCAATATGGTCTAGTTCATACATACTAACCAGCATGAAAATACTATCAGAATTATCAGTAGACAAATAACAAATTGTCAGATTCCCCTTAATCCAATTGGTTTCAAATCCAAAACTCTGTAATTTTTCCAATACCTTAACAAATTCAACATTGAACATTTACAAATCTGTAGAACAAAAACTCACTTTTTGGGGGCTTCGCAGCCTTCGCTGTTGACTTTAGCTACAGAGTGCAAACTGCAGAGTCAGGGGGCTTCTCCCACTACTACAATATTAGCTTTAGGTGTTGGACGATCCTGGCGGTTAATAAGCTATTCTGACGGATAAAAAATATCCGACACATAATTTATTTACTGTCGGATTAAAGTTAATTTATGTCAGATATATCCGACAGAAATTCCTGGCGAATTTTTACTGGAGGATTTAACCCTCAGTATTTTTGAATTCTTTTTTTTCAATATTTTTAATATATTCTGGCGGTTTTTAAGTTAATGGTGGCGGATATAACCGACAGAAATTGACTATTTTATTATTTTAGTTTCTGGCGGTTATTATTTTATTATTCTGACGGTTATAACCGACAGAAATTGACTATTATATTATTTAAAATGGAATATTGATTAAAAATAAATAAATAAATAAACAAATGGTTTAAATATTTTTTTTTCACTCACGGTCTCGTTACCTAATCTCTGAATGTTTTTTTTTTTAGACTTTTTACACATGCTATCTCTGAGTATATACAAACATATTTGACTGTTGAATCATTGAAACTAGTTTCATAGAATGCATATCCTATCAAATTGATAGATTTAACAAACACTTAAGAGTTAATGTTATACTTCCATTAAGTATAAAAAATTATCCACTAGTGTAAATATTTTAAATTGAAGATCGAATTTGTTCAATACATTCTTATAGGGTCGAGGAGTGTAGCTGTAAAAAATCATGAAAATCGGAGCTAAAATAACCGTTAAATTGTGATTTTTCGTTTATAACCGTCGAAAACTTTTGTTCTGTTACCTAATCTCTGAGTGTTTTTTTTTTTGTGATTTTTTAGCTATGCGATCTCGGAGTATATACAAACATATTTGACAGTTGGATCGTTGAAACTAGTTTCATAGAATGCATATCCTATCAAATTGATAGATTTAACAAACACTTAAGAGTTAATGTTATACTTCCATTAAGTTTAAAATATGATTTGTCCACTAGTGTAAATATTTTAAATTGAAGATCGAATTCATTCATTGCATTCTTATAGGATCGGGGAGTGTAGTTGCAAAAAAATCATCAAAATCAGAGCTAAAATAACCGTTAAAATTGTGATTTTTCGTTTATAACCATCGAAAACTTTTGTTCCGTTACCTAATCTCTGTATGTTTGTTTTTTACGATTTTTTACATATGTGATCTTGGAGTGTGTACAAACAAATCTGACGGTTGGATTGTTGAAAAACGTTTCATAGAATGCGTATCACATCAAAACGGTAGATTAAACCAAGGTTCTAAAAAACGCTAGGCGCTAGTCGGGCGGTGGGCTAGCGCCTAGCGCCTAGGCGGCTAGCCGGGCGCCTAGGCGGCCTAGGCGGATTTAGGTAAATTTTTTGTATTTCCTGTGAATAAGTGTATATTGACACTTACAAAACATGTAGAAAATGTACAAAAGAAATATTTCTTTCAACAAATGAAGTAATAATCATATGGTATACTTGAGAACAAGGCAGTGCTTGCAACCACTAAAATGAAATGTGATTTCCAATCTTATGTCCAATGAATGAGCATTCTCAAAATTAGACACTGCTTGTAACTTGTAAGTATGGAAGACTAGAACTATTGAAACATTCAAGTCCAACACTACTAAGTCAAATGTACAAATGTTGCACAAACATTTCACATAATAGAATTAACATCAGTGAGTACGAATGATGGGCATACATTTCATAGAATTAACAACGAGTCAACTGTTCGAATGCTACACATGCAGACACTGATATAAAAGAAAATTGAGCTACGAAAGTTACTAGGCATCAAACTCTTCTTCACCATATCCCTCAAAGACTCTCTCCGTGTCGGACTCGAACTCAATTTCTTCATCATCTCCTTCTTCTTCCGTGTCCTCATCTGATATAAAATCTTCTTCATGAAGTTCTCTTACTTCAATATTTTTAGAACTCCCCCTAGGCTCTAGGGAACTACCTACCTCCGATGTCTCTCCAATTCCCAAGCCAAGCTCAAGCTCTTCATCACCACCTTCCACAATCCATCCTTGAGCCATACTAGCTTCACTTGCAAGCAATATGTCCACCTTCTTCTCCTTCTCTCTTTTCTTCTTGTTCATAATTCTTGCATTAAATTGGACATAGACTAAATTATTTAACCTTGTTGTATCTAGTCTATTCCTTTTCTTTGTATGTATACCTTCAAAAGAACTCCAATTTCTTTCACAACCGGATGAACTTGTAGTCAATGAAAGTATCTTTATAGCCATCCTTCACAAATTAGGCACACCATTTCCATAATTATACCACCATGCAACTAATGAAGAAAAAAAAAACACACACACAATTAGTAATGAAAAATAAGTAGTAAACTCAAATTTAATAAATAAAATATAAGCATATGTGAATATTCATACCCGGATTATAGTTTTCATCATTCTCAGCGCATCCAAGTTCGGCCAAATGTCTTCCAAATCCACCTTCTTTTACTCTATACTTATGCATCTCAACATTTATCACTTGGTTTTGAACCTCATAGTTATCGGGGAAGAACTTCTCAACACAAGTAAAGATCCCCTCCATGACAATTGGATCATGTTGTATGCTTTGATTTTTGAAGAAATAATAAGGGTTCAAGAGGTAGCCCGCCAAATGCAATGGACTATCAAGCCGCTCACGAGCTTTTTCATCAATAATTTGAAGAATTGGTTGATAGTTGGCCTCATTGTTCTTGAATGTCTCTTTAATCTCCATCTTTGCTTTTTTGTAGCTCTCCATACAAAAACCCCATTGATGGCTTCTTATCCCCATCAACAATTCGAAGTACCTTGAATAAAGGTTCAAACACTTTCAAGCAAAGTAAGACCCCACTCCAAAAATGTGAACTCAATACAGTAGTATATGCCACTTTCCCCTTTGTAGTCTTGACATGTTTGCATTGTTCCCATTCTTCACTAGCAACCATAACCTTCAAGTCTTTTTTCTTATCCATCAAACTTTGCAATGTGAGGAAAGAAGTTGCAAATCTAGTGACTCCGGGCCTTATTATGTCTCTTTTCTTGGTATGCTTCTTCATCAATGCCAAAGTTTTATGATGTGCATAAATGAAGATAGTGAAAGCCTTTGCCTTGTCAATAACTCCTTTGAACCTAGGGAGATTACCAATCCCTTGAAGCATGAGATTCAAAGTATGAGTGGCACATGATGTCCAAAACATATTCGGCCTCTTTTTTTTCATCATGTTTGCCGCCGCCATATTGTTAGAAGCATTATCGGTTACCACTTGAATCACATTTGGAGGCCCAATTTCTTCAACACACTTGTCAACATATTCGAAGATATATTCCCCGGTGTGTGCTTCACTAGAGTATTCCTTAGAAGAAAGAAATATGGTGGCTTCCTTGCAATTGGCACATAAATTCATTATGCTTCTTCTTTTTCGATCACTCCAAGCATCGGTCATGATTGAGCAACCATTCAAAGCCCACTCTTCTTCATGTTTCTTGAGTGACTTTTTTACTCTTTCTACCTCTTCTTTCAATAATGGCTCCCTTAATTCATATTGGCTTGGAGGTAGGTAACCCGGGCCAAATTGACCAACTGCTTCCATCACACGCTTGAAGCTATCATTATCAATAGCATGGAAAGGAATACCGGCTTCATACACCCATCGAGCCACATATTGATCCACTTGATGTGTTCTTTCTTTCCAAATTGCATCATGGATGTTTTGTTGTCGAGTCTTCTTACTTCCCTCATTTGAAGAATCGAGATTGATGGAGGATGCAAACTTATCCATAGGTCCAAGAGTGCGAGGCCTTTTCCTTGACCCAATCACTTCAATGTCTTCTTCTTCTTGAATTTGTTGAAGTTGCTCCTCTTCCCTCACTTCCACAATGTGCTTATCCTTTTGTTTCTTCTTATTTTTTTCTTCTTCTAATGCGGCTCGACAGTTGGCTTTATCTTCATCCGAAGACTTTGTGCATGCCGCTACATTTCCCCTTATGTTGGCTACATGTTGTTTTAATCTATGTACTCCACCACTAATGATTTTGTCACACAACTTACATTTCACCTTATCTGAGTTTGTAGGATTTGCCAAGATCCCATATTCCCATCCCACATCTTCCGAGCTACGCTTCAACACATTTTCAGATTGGGAGGAGGATGACATTGTAGTAGATGCTCCAGAAGATAAAGTACCAGTCATCATCACACAAGACAAGAGAAGAAACAATCCTAAAATTCATATAAAATATACATTACAAACTTTTAGGTATTAATCTCCCACAAAAAATTATCACAGTATATTAACTTATAAGCCAAGTTAGCCAACTCAGATTGATGATCAGAACTCAGAAGTATAACTAAATGAAATGGAAAAATAGTTCAAGAATCTGCCACCTCAAGAAGCTGAAATGGGTATGATGAAACTTTTGGCCGAAAGGAAATCCACCAAGGTGAGATCAAATCTTATACCTCCCATAAATTTTTTTCATACATAGGTTTGGTCATAGATGAGCATGCTTATCATACATGCATGAATCCAGGTGGGAGACACCTGTGAAAATTTAAAAAAGGGTACAATGTCCCAGTAGTGATAGACAAACGCATGCGGCATGCGTAATCAACTTATACACACATACAGACACCCAATTATACAAACAATTGTGACAGACATGTTCTTGTGTTTATAAATATATGCAGATTGGCTCCTCGCATGCATCTATATATAATTATTAATTGATACAAAATTAGGCTAAGAATCTAAGATATTAAGATGTGCACCTGAATCTAGCAAACAACCAGCACGAAAATAATACTATCAGAATTTCTTTCAATTATCATTGTATCAGTAGACAAATAAGTTAACAGATTGTCAGATTCCCCTCAATACAATTGGTTTCAAATCCAAAACTCTGTAATTTTTTTTTTCCAATACCTTAACAAATTCAACATTTACAAATCTGAAATCTGTAGAACAAAAACTCACTTTTTGGGGGCTTCGCAGCCTTCGTTGTTGACTGTAGCTGCAAAGTGCAGTGCAGCAGATGAGGAAGAAGAAGAAGACATGAAGTCAGCAGGTGAGTGCAGTGCAGCAGGTGAGGAAGAAGAAGAAGACACGAAGTCGTGCAGCGGTGCAGCAAGCGAGTGCAGTGCAGATGAGGAAGAACCGAGGAAAAGATGAAGTCGTACAGCGGTGCAGGTTGCAGTGTAGATGAGGAAGAACGAAGAAGAAACGAAATGGGCGAACGGCAAAGAAGAGACGCAGCGGTGCAGAGGAGTTCAATTAGGTCACGGGAATATAGAATTCTAGAAGTTGAAACTTAGAATAGAAAAAAAAAAAAAAAAACGGTCCAGTTCCGCCCAGCCGCCTAGGCCGCCTAGCCCGCCTAGGCGGCCGCCTAGAGCTCGGCCGATTTTTCAATCCGTTTTGCCAGAAATCACCTCGGTTGGTGCCCGCCCAGCGCCTAGGCGCCGCCTAGGGCGTTTTTTAGAACACTGGATTAAACCAACACTTAGAGTTAATATTATACTTCTATTAAGTATAAAATAAGATTTTGTGGTATCAACTAGTGTAAATATTTTAAATTGAAGATCAAATTCGTTCATTGCATTCTTATAGGGTCGAGGAGTGTAGCTGTAAAAAAAATCATCAAAACCGGAGCTAAAAAAACCGTTAAATTGTGATTTTTTTCGTTTATAACCGTCGAAAACTTTTGTTCCGTTACCTAATCTCTGAACGTTTGTTTTTTGTGATTTTTTACGTAAGTGATCTCGGAGTGTGTACAAACAAGTTTGACGGTTAGATCATTGAAAAAAGTTTCGTACAATAGATCATTGAAAAAAGCTTCGTACAATATATATTCCCTCACTCAACTTTGCATTAAAATGTGCATTGAAAAAAGTTTCGTAGAATGTGTATCGCGTCAAAACGGTAGATTAAATAAACACTTAAGAGTTAATGTTATACTTCCATTAAGTATAAAATAAGATATCCACTAGTGTAAATATTTTAAATTGAAGATCAAATTCATTCATTGCATTCTTATAGGGTCGAGGAGTGTAGCTGTAAAAAATCATTAAAATCGGAGCTAAAATAACCGTTAAATTGTGATTTTTCGTTTATAACCGTCGAAAACTTTTGTTCCGTTACGTAATCTGTGAATTTTTGTTTTTTACGATTTTTTACGTATGCAATCTCGGAGTGTGTACAAATAAGTTTGACGGTTCGATCGTTGAAAAAACTTCGTATAATGCGTATCGCATCAAAACGGTAGATTAAACAAACACTTAGAGTTAATGTTATACTTCCATTAAGTATAAAATAAGATTTATCCACTAGTATAAATATTTTAAATTGAAGATCGAATTCGTTCATGCATTCTTATAGGGTCGAGGAGTGTAGCTGTAAAAAATCATCAAAATCGGAGCTAAAGTAACCGTTAAATTGTGATTTTTCGTTTATAACCGTTGAAAACTTTTGTTTTGTTACCTAATCTCTTAATGTTTGTTTTTTGTGATTTTTTACGTATGCAATCTCAGAGTGTGTACAAACAAGTTTGACGGTTGGATCGTTGAAAAACGCTTCGTAGAATGCGTATCGCATCAAAATGGTAAATTAAACAAATATTTAGAGTTAATGTTATACTTCCATTAAGTATAAGTGTAAATATTTTAAATTGAATATCAAATTTATTCATTAGACAATATTTATTTATGTTTTTCAAGTATTGATTAGACAATATTTAGTTTGTGTGATTACATTTGCATTGTACAATTCTTTTTTTGTTTCTTTATCGCATATTTTACATGGATTATTCTCTATTAAACCAAAAGTGTAAAAATTATCTATATAGATAATAATTTAAATAATTAATTATTAATTAATTATTAAAAACATATTCTAATTAAATACATATTATTTATTTATTTTAAAAAGTATTCTCTATTAATTCTTTTTTTGTTTCTTTATCACATATTTTACATGTAAAAAGATATTATTTAAATACATATTCTATTTAAATACAAATTCTATTTAAATACAAGTGTGAACACGGAAAATTCCTGAAACGAAAGAGACAAGAACAACGTGCACAAACAAATATTTTGGTGTTAATGGATTTTGGGTTACAATCTCTCTCTAATTTGATCCTCTGATTCGATCTCCGTAAGGTGTTGATTTGTGGATGTTTCGTTGATCCAAGGGTTGTCGAGGCTTGATCTTGGATGAACTGTTGGAAGTTTCTTCAAGGGGCCGTGGGCTTGATCTTTGAAGGTGGATTTGAGCGGATTTTCAAGGAGCCGTTGGGGCTTGATCTTGAGGATGAGTGTTTCTTCAAGGGCCGTTAAGATTTGATCTTGAATAACGGTGATGAACGGATCTTCAAGGGCTTTTGGGCTTGATCTTAAAGAACGGTTGGATGTGTGGATTTGTTGATGTTTGTTGATCCAAGGGCCGTCGGGGCTTGATCTTGGCTGAACGGATGATGAACGATGGTGCTTTCTTCAAGGGCCGTCGGGGCTTAATATTGAATTGGTGGATGGTTGATCCAAGGGCCGTCGGGGCTTGATCTTGGAAGAACGATGAACGAAGAACGAAGAACGAAGAGAGCTTTCTTGATTCTTCGGGAACCTTGAGAGCTTTAGAGTTTCAAAGCTTCAAAGATTTGGGGGATTCTCTTCCAATTTGGGAGTAGAGAAATGTATTTGTGAATTCCTTTTCCCTTGATTCTTTGATGGAGGAGCCTATTTATAGGCTTTGGGAACGAATCCACCATCCATTTGTTTTGGTGGATGTTGTAGGTGAATTTTGGTGGATGTTGTAGGTGAAACTTGGTGGATGTTTGTAGGTGAAACTTGGTGGATGTTGTAGGTGAACTTGGTGGATGTTGTAGGTGAACTTAGTGTATGATGTAGGTGAAGTAAATGAAGGTTGTAATTTTAATACAATGGTCAACATTTATTTCACCAAAATTTCAATGTTTACAAATGTAATCTTAATGCAATGGCTAACATTTATGCCACCGAAATTTCAATGTCTACAACAAGTTCTATTATTCTCTATTAAATAAAATAAATAATTTAAATAGAATATGTATAAAAAGAATTAATAGAGAATAATCCATGTAATAAAATATGCGATAAAGAAACAAATAAATTATTTATTTAATTTTTAAAAACATATTCTATTTAAATACATATTATTTATTTATTTATTAAACCAAATAATTATTATTTTATTTTTTAAAATCGTAACAAAATTTTGGGGGGAATTTAAAATTTTGAGGGAAAATTTAAAATTTTCGGAGGGAATTTTGCCGCCTTTTTGTGTGTCGGTTATAACCGACAGAAATGAAATTTTTCTGTCGGTTTTTATTTATTTTTAAATATTACTGTCGGTTGTAACCGACAGTAATTAAAATAACCTAAATTTTTAAAACACCTCCATCTTCCTTGCGCCAGTGCTTTTCCCTTTCCTCTATTCTGTTGTCCTCATTTCCTTCTCCTTCTCCTCTATTCTTTTCTATTCTGTTTGAACACTTGCAACCAATTCCAACCAACAATTCCACACACACTGCAGACAGACTTTCTCTCTCTCTCGTTGGTGTCTGTCTCACACTCACAGCATAGTAGTACTTGATTTTAGCTACCAAGCTTAGCTAGCTAACAGAAAGTTATTAGTCGTCTCGTTAAAGTGAATAAGGATTGTAGGCTCTTGTGCTCATCTTGTTATGGTTAATTCGTCCTGGACTCAGTCCCATATCGAAAAGCTCTGTAACTTTCTCACACGGTCTAAGCGGGTCTACCCTCCTTGTGACACTTATAGACTTCAAGTTTGTTATCAGTAATATCTTAACATATTACTTTGAAACGTGGTTTTCAACGATTTGACTAGTCTTTGTGTGAGATGAGCTGCAAATGTGCAATTGTCTTTCTGTGTGGTTGTTAACAAGTTGCTGTTTGTGTAGGCGCTGTCGTTGGAAAAGCCAGCTGAACCGGCAAAATTTATATATGTTGCTCAGTTTCAGCCAAAGAAGGTGGGAATATAAACCTTATGAGCACAAGGTACTAAGATTTTTGCGGCTTGTTTATGGGGCCTTTATTATTTGTGGATATTGCAAGTCCTTTCTAATTTGGTTGTTCCATTCTCAGGCACTTGGTCTCCAACTT